CGTCGCAGTGCCCTCTTCTGTCGACACTGATTGTGCCGCCACAGACGACGAGTCGCTGGTGGGCGGTGCACCACCTACATGAAGAAGAAAGCACTGAACCATTTAGAGCACATTGCCCAGAATTCGGGGGCATGTGCATGCCGGCACGACGATAATACGATACCGGAAGGACTGTGCATGCCCTGAAGCATCTGGTGAAGCAATGTCGTTGAGACAATATGTACTGCGTATTCGCCTTTTGCGCCTTCAAAAAATTTCCATCTATTAAATGGCACTATATAGTGAGATATATAAAATATATTTGGTTTCGGACTATTCTTGTTGCTCATATCTTGATGTCAAATAAGCACTTTGTGCCATAGCGGTAGATGGAGCACAGAAGCGTCTTGTTGCTCTTTGAATCGGACGGAAAGGGACGGAAGGCGACGAGCACAGCACCTGGCGATACAGCAGCAGAAGCAGCGTCTGGAGCATCAGCGAAAATCGGAGCTACAATGCCGGGAGACTGAACTTCCGTTGTCTCGTTTGCTGATGCCGATTGACCCACAACCACTGGTGACGAAACGGTGGGGTCCTGCGAGCTGTCGGTGCGGTTTTTGGAGCCTAAAAGCACAATATGAAAATGTTAGCTGTGCCATTGGACCAAGGCTCACGCATGCCGAACAGTTTCTTTCCCGGAATTTCCCAGAATTCCCGGACTGAACTTTATTGGAAAGTCAATTGGGATTGCGATCAGTCAGTATATACCGAACGTGTATCTCACCGCAAGTTGCTGTACGCACCCATGGCAGCCGGCGGTGGCTTTTGTAAGGCGAGTATGGACACTGATGAGGACATTATGGGAGCGAAAGGAATTTGTCGGTTGCGATGTCTCTACACTCTTTAGTATGATCATTTTATTGCGATGAAGAGGTACTAACGGCAGATTCATTTGATCTTGTGAGTGCGCAGAGGTGCACAGAATATACGTGTTGCACTGAGACTGTCGGGGCACGGACTCATTTCTCAGCTCCGGCAACGGCCACCGGGCTTTCAGGCGTGCCGTCCTGCTCGGCGGCGATGAAACAGGCTGTTCGTTAGCTGGAGAACTGACAACGGGTTTGCCGTTGCCCCCCGCAGATGTCTTGACTTCTGCAACTTTGGGGTTGTCGTCGACTGGATATTTCGGTGCACAGAGCAAACACCGATTAGGATTGAGCCCCTGATGGTGGAACTCGCTGCACACGGTGCGATCCTGGAGTCTGAGGCGTTTGCCATCGACTTGATCATCACTATTCAGCCCATCCGAAAGACAATTTCAAACCACTGACGGAAACTGCATCGAGTTTGCATAGAAATAATCCCGCACTGAATTTCATCTTGTTTTCATCCCAAATGCACTAAAACATTCAATGGTTCAGGGATCGCTCACAGACAACTGTTGAATTGTAGAATTGCAACTGCGCTTCCCGTACCGATGCGCGTTTCTACACTTTGTATCAAGAGTAAGAATGCGATTCATTTCCGTTGATGCCGAGCCAGGTGGCAATTGCTATGGAACATGCCCTTCACTGACTGGCAGCCGGTGGAGAAGCAGTGAGCCTTTATTTCCGCAAGGTTCTGACAACACGGTCCCATTTCCGAGACGGAAAATATCGTTAACATGCTGAGCTGATGCAGTGGCTCTGTCATGTGCATGGAGCAAATTGCTTCGTGGCTGGCGGTGGAGGCCTCTCCCTTCCCTGTGAATACAACACCTGTGGGTGGGGAAGGGGTAGCCGGAGTTGCGACGTCTGTTGAAGGCGCTGCTGTGCCCACCGACGACGAGGAAGACTGCGCGGTTACCTTGCCGGGTCCCTGTGACTTCGCCGATGCAGTCGAGGTGTTTTTAGCCTGTGCACTGCCTACCAAACCGTGTTCGGAAATGTAAGTTTACGGATTTAATAACCTGAGTTGCGGCTGATCAGAATGGCTGATAAGGGATGTGGACATTAGCTGGATCGACCGCTGCACTCTTGCAAGTGTAAGAGCTGAGAACCAGTGCATGGTCGCCCTTTGCTATCAGAAACAATTGAAATATGCGTTTAATATAAAAATGCTGCCTGCGTCTGACATATAGCCAGGATGGCTATGTCGACGTGGTTATGATGACACCACAGGCACGCAGCTGCTGTCACGTGGCGCGCACACAGAGTTTGAGCCCAGATCTGCTGCCGCACTCTGGGGCTGTCGAGGTACTGTGGCGAAGCACCCCAGAAGCAGGCAGGCGACGGGCTACAAATGCGATTGGCTCTTGAAAGCGACAGCCAATCCAACTATCTGGCAGCAATGAACATCCGAGCTTGGGGTGGGAAATGATTTTGTGCCGTTACAGGATAACGAGGCCAGCTCCGCTTGAATGACTGGACTTAATGAATTTTGCACCGCCGGGTGTGCACATTTCATTGGCGTGGGCACCTGTCGGTGGAGAAGGCGACGATATGTCTGCTGACCCTGATCCTTCCTCAGCGGACGTTGAAGCCGCAGTGCATATCTGCAAGACGGGGATGGGACGGGGGTCAAGTCCAAGCTACGGGCATTTGGCCATCCGTGCGTTTGTTGCACACACGAGGGCCCATCCACCAGGAACATTTGTGAACACACTTTTGAAAGAAATTCTCTCCCGAGCGGAGGCACGAGGTCCTCTCTACACCGACACCTCATTTCACCCGTTCAGAACACCCCAGCCATTGCAAGCTTGACAGCTGCAGGCTGCGGCAGAGGTGGCAATGGTGCCTCAGTCGTCGCGGTGTCAGGCGGCTGTGGTCCCTTCCTTGAGCTCCCCACCCCGCATCACCCTCGCCCCGCAAGCGCCGCCGTTCAGAACGCCATCAGGAACCAGCGTCAGGGACTTACCAGAACCACGCAGAAGAGGAGACGCGCGCCGAGGAGGCAGCGTCCAGCCTTGGGCAGCGCCATGGCGGGGTGCTAACAGCAACACACCAACTCGTTAAGCTTGCAGGGCGGTTGGGGCTCGCGGGGCCCGCGCCGCGCGTAAGCTGACGAACAGCGGCGGACCGCAGTCCACCAAATCCCTGAAGGACAGCTCTAAACACGAGATCTCGTGAGTTGACTCCGGAGTCGTCCTCTTCCCCAAGCACAGCGTTCCATTGACGTATGGCACGCGGCAATGAAAAGACATGCGGGTTAAATGCTCACCTCTTGCACACGGCGGTCTTTGATTCCCGTCCCAGGAGGGCGCCGGGTTTATTTAGCTACCAGGTCAGCACTGGTGCTCGGCTCCCAGGGCCGTCCTCCGCCGGCCCTTATCTTCGTCAGTAGCTAGCACGTGGCCGCGGCTGCCAGACTACCCCCGACGGTGGGCGCTTTAGCTTGCTCCACCCCTCCCCGGGCGGTTTCTGGCACCGACCACCGGATGGGCCGTTTCCGGCGAAACTTGGGGTCTTGCAAGCGCATGTTGCCGGCCTGCCGCGGAGAACCTCGTGGGAAGTTCCTGGGCGCGCCTGTCGGACAGCAACAGGGCACGGGGACGGGCAATTCCTGGCATCTGCCGAGAGACTGGCCGGCCAGTGGTCAGTCAGGACCGCGGACATCATCCAGATTCGCGCCGGTTGTGCATTTCTGTAGTCCGCCATTGCCGCTCGGTGTGAAGATCTGTGGGTGTGTGTGAGGCGGTCTAACGCAACAGTTGCATCGGCCCAGATTATGGGGTAGTTCACCGTGGTAGTACATGCTTGGATGGGCCTGGAACATACTGGAGAATGGTGCGGGGATGGGATGCGTTGAGCACGCTGTGACGCGCCCCCAGTGCCAGCAACGCACTGGCTGGGTGCCTGGTGACTAATACGCACTTTGACCGCTACAGGTGTGCATCAGATTTGCAATCGCCGTGGCCACCCCCCATGGGCGGGTCAGTTGTGAGCATGCGCAGCAAGATACTTCTGTAGTTGTCTAATTCTCATTGTAGGTACACCGTCCTCTGCACAATAGATCCGCTACTCCACAGTTGCTCTCCGGATTGGCAAAATGTCAACTGCCAAATTACGAGAAGGCGCAGCCTGCCCTGTTGCAACTTTCTATTCTCAAAACCAGCTCCTTTCATGGTCGGAAAATCCAGGAGCAGAAGTGTCAGTAGACAATGATGCGCCACGGCATCGGCACACGGACTGTTGAACTTTTCAAGCTGCAAAAGGGGCGACCAATGTGGCGGCTGCTGAGGAGCAACACGGGGACGCCTGTGGTATAACGAGATAGGAGTGCAATCCGAACAGGAGCCGCTCTAAGCGTCAGTCGACTGTTCACGGCGCCATTTTCAGCAGTCTCGTGAAGCACAGACACACCTCGCGACAGAATGCAAGAGAAACGCAGTTCCACTGCTGGGTACGAAATGAACCAACAATTCAATTGCAATAAACTTGTGGTTGGCTGTCCCACTACTAGACAGATCAACATGCTCTTCCAGTATGTAGACTACCAACGTCGCTTGTGGCAAAAGCAACAGCTTGTTTCACATTGCTCCACAGGTGACTACGCAACGTTTTTGGCTGTGACAACAAATGCAGGTGAATGCAGTTTCTTGATCTGCAAGCACTGTGCCATGCAGCAACGGTGATGTGGAAATTGCTCGACTTGTGTCCTTGCATTCAGGGATACTCCTTTCATGAGCCTTGGAGCCAACGACTGCGACTTGTGTGCGTGGACCTATCAAGCTAATGTGGTCCATTCAACACAATGGGAAAGATACAGACACGGGTGAAGGTTGTGCAACAACGCCCCAATCAACTGTCCTTGCTAAGGATCACAAAACTATTGAGTTCTTGCCCTAGTTCAGAAGTCACAGCCATCTGGAACAACAAAAGCGAGGAAAGAATTCACAATTGGTCTCATGCATCTGGTGCAGCATTTGCCTCCAACAACTGCATCAACACACCAAGGGCATCTCTGCACATTTCACGGGTGCATCATCGTTCAGCGAAGAGTTCATCTACACCTATCCGCTGCTCAGCCCCTAGAATTGAGAGCTACTTCTTTCCATGACGCATCTTTTGGCGCTTGTGCAGTGCTGGGTAATTCTTTTTCAGGACTTGTGCCTGCTGTGCTCGTGTGTCCTGAACAAAACATATACACAGTGACTTGATCAATGCAATGATTGCAATCCAAACCATCACTGTCATCACCAATCGCAAACTTAGATTGCCAAACAGACAATAGCCTATCATGGATGCCAGCAGGCTGATATTGTCAGATCGATACTGCTTTCAACTTTGCACCAGCAGTCAAGAGTTTCAACAACACAGCATCAAAATCGTTTCAAACGAGTTGCTACTTTGCTTCCTTCTGAGCTCTTGATACCATTAATGTTTCAGAAGGATGGTTACAAACCCCTGTAGGGAAACACAGTTTGGAGCATAGTCTTGGACTGCGAGCGAAAATTTTCACTCTGCAGAGCTGACTGTCTCTGACATTCTGGAATGAACCAAACTCCAGGCTCATGCTTCACAGATGCCTTCGGAGAAATGGTGCTCAAACAGGCAGCACAGAAGCAGCTAAACACACCATAGAAGTAAAAACAGTTGCATAGTACTGCTGCACATGGCACCGCCTCCAAGGTGCAAGGGGTTTGATGTGTCATGCAATGTTGACAAACTGTGATCCAACCAATCAACAAACGCTTAAACATCACAAGAACTGTGAGCAGAAATTTATAGTGTTCCTCAAATTCCGTAGGGAGAAATACAACATCAAGTCATGAACTGAATCAATAACATATCAATGTCACCAAACAGAGCAGTTTGTGCAAAGATTTGTCCAGGCTAACCAGTGTAGATTCGTAAGCAAGCTCAACCATACTCAGTTGACCAGGAGCTGTTTAGAACTGCGAATACATACATAACATCAGACAACCTCCAGTTCAATTCGGTGCTGATAAGCGTTCGAATTATCACCGTTTGAAACATCAGGAAGTGCACATTTGCAGTACTTGACAGCGTGGAACACATCTGTGCACATGTCTCAACCTGCACAATGACAGTTTCAGCACTGGCATGCTAGACACAAGACAATTCTTTAGGAATCGCAATGCTTCCGCCTGCCATTCTGATTGTTGGGAGCACAGACTCAGCAGACAACATCGGTAAGAGATGCCAAGAATCACCTGGATTGACTGGAACCGCCTTTGTAGTTTCTCTCTGGCATCCTCTGACAGCAGCTGCTCTGCCAGGGATCGCTTCCTCAGTCGCTTTGGGAGGCGATGAGATGGAGGTGCAGTAGGGTCATCCAGAATGGAACCTATCTGAAACCACTTGGGCATGCCCTTCCTCCCTTCACTCTGCAGCACAACGAGCGCAACAGTGCAATTCCAAGGCCCTCTGACAACCAGCAACTGCTCAGAGTGGCAAAGATAAGCACAGTTGCAAGACTTCAAAGGAGGTATCATGGGAAGGGTAAGCGATAACTCCAACAATCAATTGAGATTCTGAACGCATACCAGTACAACAATCAAGATCATGATGCCTGGGGTATTGTGAGCATCATAGGATGCACTTGAGTTGCATGGCAAATCCAAAGTCAAGTAGCATGTTGCAAACATGAATCACTACCACTTCAAGCAGAATGCACTGCAAAGCTCTGCACAGGCTACCAATATACAGCATCGCCCAACACACCTACTTCGTGAATTAAATTTTCTTTGTTTGTTTGTTGTTCTTTTTAAGGACACAAAAACAAACTGTATTCTATTGGCTGTCTGAGTGCAAAGTGTGCAACTGCAAAAGCACGATCGGCCTCTTTGTCCCACCTTGTAGAGGCCCACAGAGCCAAAGCAACTCCTCATGGACAAGACCGTCAGGTCTTGCTTGGTTTGTTCTGTAGGCTTGGTGGGTGGCATGGAAAACCAGTCACATTCAGTAGGTTTCTGGCTGGACTTCCCTTGCCTTTCCTTGAGAGTGGGGCCAAAGACCTACATCAGGAGCCAATTGTCATCAGAGTACAAATTCTATAGAAGGGTATGCATGATATATGACTGGTTGTGGTACAAAACAATGTCCAGCTGTTGTGAGAATGCAGCCAATGTTGCTCAAGAGCTTGGCACACAATCCACTGGCCACTCTCAACATAGAGTGGCGAGCTTTTTATTTGATGGAAAAGTTTTTGACACCTTTGATAATATCTGGCTGCAGAGAAGCCCTTGTGGCCTGATGCAACCATCATGCGCGGCATTCCCATCACACGTGAGTGTGAGCCATGCGACCTAGTCACCAACTCCACGCCAAACAAGGGCCGTCCACTCTGAACAGCCTTTCCCACACAGAAAAATTACGTTGTTCGCCAAGCGGGCACCTTGAGTATTGCCCTTCTGCCTGCGGGGCCGACCCACCTTCCCCTTGTAGTTTAAATCTCTATCTTGCGCCCTTCGCTCCAGTTTCTTCAGCTTTTCCAGGACCTCAGCACGCAGGGGCACCTTGCCAGGACTCTCCATCGGGGAACCCACCACGCCTCTGTCCCTAACCTCACTAACACCTCCCCAGCTTCGGCCCGCTTGACCCTGGCTGGCCACCGACGGCCCAGCGTCGCTTCTCATCCTTTCATCGCAAGCGTCGGACCGGTCGCCATTTCCGGAGCTCCCATCGCTGTCCGTGTCGCTCTCGACGTACTCTAATGTCAATCCTCCAGTCCCATTGATCGCACTCCCACCAACGGCGCTGCGTTCCCCTGCCGTCTTCCGCCCCATCCGGCCGGATCCACCACGTACGTGACTCCCTTTGCCCGCAATTGAGTCGCCTCTCCTCAGCCGCCCCCAGCAACAAACCTTTTGCTTCGGGGGCGCCCGATTGCCTGAGCTGGGCCCCGGCTTGGTCCCCGGATGCCGGCGCGTCTCAACAGATCCACCGCGAGCTGCAGAGATGCCCACAGACAGCCGGGAGATCCAACTTTCGGCCCTCGACACGCTCGAAGCGACTCGGCGCGAGCTGTCTGCCCGCCAATCAACTCGCGGAATCAGCGGCGGGATGCCAAGCAGGACTCGGCCTCTCCCCGCAGAACCAGCGTTGCGACACCCTGCGACCCCCCTTCAGCCAACGGCGATCCGATAACAGGCCCCGTATGAGCCCTTCCGGTCAGTCGCGCCCGGCCGCGAGGCCGCCGGGCGGCCACACACGCGCAGCCCAGGGTCGTTCGGCGGTGCTCGATGGGATGGCGGCGCAGTTGGCCGCCCCTGTGACAGAAATTGTGGCGGAATGGGGCGCCCTAAACGCCCTTGATGCGCCCCAATGCCCCCTGACAGAAATCGATCCCCTCACCGCCACCCCCCACCACGCGCAGCCCCCGAGGCGGCCATCCCCCGCGACAATTGGCGCGCCGCGACCGCCCGCGGGCGGCGCACTCCGCGGGCGTGATAAATGGACGAGGGGAGTCCGGAGCAGTCCGGCGGCGGCGGCGAGGAGCCCTGGCCGCCCGCCGTGGCGCACAGGCTGCTGGGCGCCTACTACATCCTGCGGGCATTCTCATGGCAGCTCCGCCTGAGTCCATTCCAACTCCAGGCGCGTGATTTTTCGCCACCGCATGCGCAGGGTTGGCTGCTTTGCTGGCTGTGGAGGATGGCTGTTCCTCCCCTGCGGTCTGGGCGCTGATCTTGGTCATTTTTACGCGGCCGTTCAGGACCTGAAGGCAGCGCTGGGGCTCGAGCGCGCGAGCGGGCTGCTGAACGAGGTGTTCGTGTCGCTGGTGCGCGCACTGGCCTTCGGCGAGAGCAAGGAGGAGCGCTGCGCCCGGCTGCTACCGCTGGACCAGGTGGACTACGTGACCTGGGCGGAGTTCGCCTGGGAGTGGCTGGAGGCCACGCGGCAGAGAGACCTGACGGCGGTGGCGTACAGGGAGCGGCGCAGGGGCAGGCTGGGGACGGTCGATGGGACAGAAGGGGCCGAGACGGCGAGTCATGAGTGGTGGCGTCAGGTGCGCTTCGGGGTGGAGGGGGAAAGGAGAGAGGGGGACTGATCGCGGCGTGAGTAAGGCGGTGGCTCCCTGCGTGGGTGGCCAGGGCTTTCGCGTTTTCTGAAGCTGCAGGTCGGAAAGGACCGGGTTTAAGGGGGGATGCCTGCCGCCGATTTGAGGTCACGGTGGCGTTGGACGCGGGGGTAGTGTTTGTGCGGCGTTGCCCGGCTGCAGGCAGAGGAAACTGGAGGTTTGGGAGCACCGTTTGTTCGATGTGTGCTTTTATGCCCGTCGCCGAAAAGGGTGGCGGGAGCTTTTGTCGGGGCCTGTGGCGTGACGGCAGGGAATTGGAGGCATTGCCGCTGAGCCCTTGCATTAATGGCTATTGTGACCTGCTGAAAGCATTGCACCCTGTGGCGCCCATTTCAGTCTTCAAGTTAATGACATTATAGAGAGGGCGGCTCCTGTGGGTGCAGCTTCACAAATGCACGACCTGCAGTCTTATCGTCAGCGCCACTGCTCTCTAAATGGCTGGAGGAGGTTGTAGGGTCTGGCCGAGGGATTGAATGCAGTGTTGGGGGGTATGACTGTATGACAACGGCTGGGATCTTCCCAGAGACCAAGAAATCTCTGAGCCAGCAGGCGCAAACTGCTGTTCAGCCTCCAGTTGGGGAACGTGGGGCTTGCGTATGTGCCGCTTGTAGACAAATTCTGCCAGGAATGAACTGGATGTGTGTTTCACAAACAGCAACAAAAACCAGAATCCCAAACAAGGAAGACCCCATCTTGAAGGAAGAGACCAGGCCTACTTTTCAGGGCTGTCAGGTCGCTGCCAGCAACAGATGCCAAGTCACACACTGTGGAACCTGTCAGGCAGAGGTTATCTAATGGTGAGATTCTCTTGCGTATGTGCAGCTGACGGCACCGCAGCGTAGCTGGGCTGACCGCGTGGAGTTTTGGACCCTGCCACTTCATTTCAAGGTTGAGGTGTTGGCTACCATGGCAGATGACCTGCTGATGGTGCCTGCTGTGAGAAATGAGATAAACAGGAGGCAGATGTATGGCCCTTGGTGCGGTTTCGGAGCAAACAACGATGACACTGCGTCTCAGGACAGCGAACAAAGCAATGGAGGGGTAGGCACAAAGGCAAGGTCGCTGTACATGTGCTGGACGCGAATTTGTGCCCATCTGGCAGCTCGAAACTGGTGGCTGAAGGGTGGAAGGGTTGATTGCCTGTATTGCCATTATTGGCTGGGAACAAAAATATACTAAGCACAGACCTTTTTGATAGTGAGCAGCCCCCAGCACTGCCGCATGTGGTGAAGGGGCAGTGAATTGTGATTTTCTAAAATGTGGTAGATTTGATTGACCCACCTGTTGAACATGTGCAAAACTTTTGTGCATTTGATAGAGCCATACTAGCCAGACAGCTGTTGTTCATTTCATATTTTTGACAACACAACCCTTGCAACTGAACTGCCAAAGGTTCAGTGTTGTGAAGCTGAGCCTGGTTGCTGTGCAGCGACCAGAGGTGCTGGGGTTGGGCGTGGGTGAAGATGGCCACGTTGATGACTGCATGCTCTGCAGTGTGGGTGGCAACCTTGTCTGTTGTGATGGTTGCCCAGCAGCGTACCATCTGAGGTGTGTTGGGGAGGGAGCCAAGGCCCTGAAAGAGGAGTCATGGCTGTGTCCCGAGTGCAGGGCCGGTGGAAGAGGTGGGAGTCGAGCTCTTTTTGATTGTGCAGGACAAATCATACCCAGGCAAATGCCAGACACACAATATTTGTGTTGCCAAGATTTTGCACAAAGATATTTATGCAACATGAAGCTGGAAAGTCAAGAGGTGGAGTGGCTGTGTATCTGCTGCCTAGCTTGTTTCAAATGTGAACAAATCATGGTTCATTACAGTTGCTACTGAGTATGTTATTCACGTTGAATTTGGTCCTTGAAGTGGGGCAAAATTGACAAACAGTGTGCTTTTGTGCTTGTTTTCCATTTTCCTCCATGAAACTTGATAGTGGTAGGCAACCTGATGAAATAGAACCACTCTGAGAGCTGGTGGGGCGTATTTCAGCCAGTTGGACAGGAAGTCCAATTGCCGTATGCTTTGAATGTAGTTGCACAGAATCTCCTCGTTCTGACAATTGTTGGCCGCAGTTGTTGCCCCCAGGAACATCATTTTGTCTGTACCACCTTGCAGGGCTAGCTGCGGGCTTGCGCATCCCAGTTGCTGGATATGGACCCCATGGCTCAGTCTTTTGGGCAGCCGACAATTTGCTTGTGGAAGGACAGGATGATGGCATCAGAATATACACTGGCGAGGAAGCCCTGAGGGAGCTGAAGGAGACTGTCAATGGGAGGATCTCACAGGGAATGGGCATAACTGAGGTCAAGGCACTATCAGCAGATGGTGGGCCCACTTTCTACATCTCTGAAACCGAAAGCAGGCTGTCTTGAAGCTGGTTCCATGTGGAGCTCCCCCAAAGAATGACAGACTTGTGATTCTTTCCGGAAGGATGGCTTTCAGTTTGTGCTCCCATCCTGAGGGTCATGTCTTGTGCGATTGTTGTCTGCTCTATACGAGATGATTCATCTAATTTTAAGTGAAGCAAGAAATTATGGCTGCTCCGTTCTGTGGATATGGTATGGAAATGGCTGCATACAATTGGAATGGTACACATCGGCAGGAAGCATTTCCATGTCGATAGTGTTGCACGCCATTGTCTGTTGGTGGCAACAGGTGGAACAGTTTTAGCTTTTGGGGGCGATGGTCTCCTGAGCAGCAATCGATGGTTTTTGTTATTTGCAGACAAAGCGAAACTAAGTCCAGGACCTGATGGTTATGTCAATTCCTACAAGTCCTCCTGGGTGCCTGCAATGAAAGGAATGGAGATGTTTCTGCAGAGTATTCGCACCAAGCCCAAGAAGGAAAAAGAGGTTTATGGTGAGTTTTGAGTTGATCAGATCACTGTGCAGCTTCAAGAGTTTCGTAGACGTCGTTTTCGAGGATAGCTCTCTCCAATTGTTGTTTGTCTGCTTGCCCAATGCTGTGGAATATCTATCCTGAAATAATCTGCTGTCAAGAATTCTGTTTCAGATCAAGAGATTCGAATTGAGCTTTCTGACTGCCTGCTGTCTTATTTAGCGACTTATTCCTGCGATATGTCATGCTATTTTGGCAGGTCCCTTACCAGTGCCGATCCCCATCTCCAAGTTCCCATGGCCCCAGTCCATGGGACGCGGCCAGCGGCGATACTTGCTGCGATGTGGTGCCTGCAAGCACTGCACGACCCCCTCATTGCACAGGGCTTGCCTGAATCCAGCGCCCAAGCTTGTCCAAGGGGGCGGGGCCAGTGGGTCAACTGTCCAGACAGCTATCAGCCCAGTCCTGTTCTATCTGCTCAAGCTGGAGAATGAAATCTGGGGCCTCTTGGATGGGGACTGGAGTGGATCTAACGGTGAGAGCTTGGGCTTTGTCATCTATACACATTTTAGAGATCCATGCCGATCATAGGATGGGCGATGCCAGGACCTGTTTCCTGTCCGCAGATGTTGGCTCCTAGAGTTTGTCATCCGTGCTCACCATAGAATTGCCCTGGGCACTTCACTGGGTCTGTATTTGCCTCAAGTTGTTTGCAGGGGCACAACTGGCACCTGCCTCTCCATTCGGCTCAAAAACTTCTGCCTGGCACAGTTCTAATATGCTCCACACCCCCGTGCAGTGATGGGCAGCAGGAGCATGCATGCTGTCTTGCGTGGCCTGTTGAGAGTAGCATCTTATCCAACTGTTGTGGCTTGGTG